GCGCTGGTATTTCTGGCCACTGTGTGACCCAGAGTGTTGGGCTGGATGGGCCTTTGGCCTGATCCAACATTGGCGTCTCTTATGTTCTTATGTTCGGGAAAGGGTTCCAACCCTTTTATCATTCTCGTTGCCCTTTTCTGCACTTTTCCCAATGCTATAATATCCCATCCTACGCTTTCTTTTTCTCAAGCTATCTAGAAGGCTGTGCACACTGAGGTGTTGAGCCAGGGGAGTGTGGGTCTGGCACAGAACCATAAGAATGAGGAAGGATCGTAGGGGTTACCTAGTGCAAACCGCCTCCCCCCCCCCGCTCAATCAGCCTAGAGCACCCCTGAAAGTGTTTATCCAGCCGCTGCTTAAAGATGGCCAGCGAAGGGGGAGCTCACCGCCTCCCGAGGCAGCCGATTCCACTCTGGCACAACTCTTACCATAAAAATATTCTTCCTAATATCCAGCCAGTACCCTTGATGCCTTTAATTTAAACCCATTGTTGCATCAACTGGCTCTCTTTAGCCTGGTGCATTTTCACATGGCTCGGCAAGAGAAGGCGTCTCAGGGCTGTTTTGGGGCAGGAACGCACAGGAACAGAGTTCCGGCTGGCTTCAGAGTTGGCCACGCCCACTACAGCCAAAACCTCTGTGTGCCTGGCTACAGAGGGAAGGCCTGGAGAGTGACCCCCCCCCCGGCGACTCTGAGGTGGGCAGGCCAGGGGAGGCCCTGGAAGGATCGGGGAGGCATTTAAATGCCTCCCCGTGCCTTCCCTGGCAGCTGCGGGGCGCCCGGGCAAGCCAACAGAAGGCATGAGGTGGGACCTAATATGTTAATGAGCTGCGCTATCAGGGTGTGGCCTGATATGCTAATGAGTTTCTGCTGTTGGGTGTGGCCTATTATGCTAATGAGTTCCTGCTGGGCTTTTTCTACAAAAGAAGCCCTGAGGCGTCTTATTCGTGCCTTTGAATGCATGTGCCTGTCACTTTGGAGATTGTGCTCAAAGCTCTCGATTCACTTGGGCCAGTGGTGGGCAGAAGGTCTGGGCCACAAGGGTCAAGACACAAAGGACGACTCCCTACCTCTGTTCTGGCGGGGCACACATCTCGGCGTAATATTTGATCTTTGGTTCAGTTCCGCTTGTCCGGAGGGTGGCGACGCAGCCGTTCTGGAAGGTGAATGTGATCATCTGGCTGTTTTTGCTCACGGGAAGCACCTGTGGTGACGAGAGCGGCAGGGAAACTGAGACTCAGACAGTCAAGGTGTGTCTCCTCCCCAACTTTCTACATATAATGAGCATTTTATTAATGAACGTTTCCTGGAGATCCAGTGAGTGGTCTACAGAATGTAGTCTGGTTTAGCATCAGGCTTCATTCTGGGCCCTGGCTACCGGAGGATCCTTTCTCTTAGAATCATAGAATCATCGAGTTGGAAGGGATCTCCAGGGTCATCTAGTCCAACCCTCTGCACAAGGCAGGAAATTCACAAACACCTCCCCCTCCACGCCCGCAACCCACCCCTACTAGAGTAGCCCAATCAACCACCCAATCCTCAATTTCTGCCGAAGAGCAGTCTGAAGTGGATTAGAGTTCCGCGGGGCCTGCAAGACGGAGCTCTTCCACCAGGCTTTCGATTAGGAGCCGTCCCACTAATACCATCAACGAGCCCAGACCTCAGTTTCAACATCTGGCTCTGTCAGCTATGCTGCCATGGAGGTGGGGAGGTTGGTTGTATTCTAATTGCTTCTGCATTCCTTTTGTGCTTCTTTGCTGCCGCAACGCTTATCTATAAGCTTTGCAGGTCGTGATGTTGATGTCTGGGTTTCTCGGGGGCTGTGGGAGAGAGTTTGGTTCCCAGCTTCAGCGCTAAACGGCCGGAGCTCTTTTCTCCCGCGCGCGGGAGGGTAGCTAATTGGCCAGGGCAGTGGGGGGGGGGGTGCATACGAGTACCCTATATCCTATTATGCCCCAGGGGCAGCCGCCATTCTTGCCTATGTTAATGCAGCTATAGCTCTTTAATAAAGTATTACCTTTTCTGAAAGCGTGTACTACGTTGTAGGCTGTGGGTTCTGACAGGCTCATTACACCGAGTGACTCAGGACGACACTGAACTGAACTCAGCAGTTGGGAGACATATCCAGTACGCCACCGCAAATAGGAATTGTATTATTAATAGCACACCTTATGTTTTTATGTTTCTATGTTTTATAATCCTATATTGTAGTGTTTTGTAATGTTATATGGTTTTATCAGCAATGTGCCAATGTTGTAAGCCGCCCTGAGCCCGCATGCAGGGAGGGCGGGATATAAATCAAATAAATAAATAAATAAATATATTTCATCACCCGAGTGCTCAGCCAAGGCGAGAATCCAGACCGAAGCCGCACCTGCCTTCCGGCGCCGGAAACTCACCGACTTTTTGTTCGGCTGGCTGCTGTCGTAGCCCGTGGTGACGTCTCGGACGTGCAAGATGCTGTACGCCCCGCAGCATTCGGGGTAAGAATTCGGCGAACCGAAGTTCCGCAGCCTCTCGAATATCCGTTTGATGGTGGCGGGATCGTAGCACAGGAAGTAGGAGGTTTTCGAAATGTGATGGCCGTAGCTACGGGAAGGGAGGAGGGAGAAAAGCGCGGGTGAGAAGAGCAATCCAGATCTTGGTTACAGATTAAAGAGATTAAAGCAAGAGCTATTAGAACTCCCTTTCTCCGGTTCAGTGGATGTAGCCATTTCCTTGACCCTGCTTCCTGGGCAACACTCAGATATACTGAGGAGACAGTCTTGTGTAGTGGTTAGAGTGCCCAGACTAGGATCTGGGAGACCCTGGTTCGAATCCACACTCTGCCACTGAATCTCACTGGGTGACCTTAGACTGGTCGTACACTGTCAGCCAAACCTACCTCACAGGGTTGCTGTGAGGATAAAATGGAGGAGAGGACAACAATGGCAGCCATTTTGGATCCCAGCTGGGGCGAATGGTGAGGCATATATGGGGTAAGCGCTTAAACAAACACAGAAAGGTGGGACTCGCTTCTTCTGGTGAGCCTCTCCTCCCACAGATGCCTTCACGTAAAATATTTCTGCCACAGTTTTACACCCTCACAGGGCCACAAAGCGCCTCTCAGCAAACTGAGGAGCCACACAAACCAGTAGCAGCAAGCGCGCACTCCCCACCCATGCTCCCTCTGAGCTGCGGAGTCTTGTGAGCAAAGATTCTGCTTTGTGAGCGACTGGCATCACAGTGGTGAGCGAGCGATTTGGCTGCTGCATCAATCAGTTTGCTCTGGAGCCATCCCTTCCTGAGCTGAGACAAAACTGGGTGAGCCGGAGGCTAAAAAACTATGAGCTGGCTCACACTAATTCAGCTTAGAGGGAACACTGCTCCCCACTGTCAGACTCCTGCAGCAATCAGTTCCCAACAGCTTTCATTCAAAGAAGTAAAGTTTATTGAGACGTATGAAAGTAGGCAGACATCTTAACTCTTGTGTTAGAACTGCCTCTAAGCCCGCAAACCAGACAGATATACAATATCCAAGGGGGTCCCCCCCCCCTGATGCCCCAGGGCCAATCAGATATCAGGTAAAGGCCCGCCAAAGGGAGTAGGTAGAAGATCTTCATCTGGCCCTGGGAGAAAGAACGACAGCGCCAAGCGGAACAGATGACACTGAGTGGATATAACAGCTTTCTACGCCATCTTTATGGAAGATCAATTCGGAACATCCAGAGCACATAATAATAATAATAATAATAATAATAATAATAATAATAATAATAATGTCGTAATATTGTAGAATTTGTTTTAAATGGTTTTAAATGTGTTCTCTGCGCTGGCTTATGCCTGATTGTGAGCCGCCCTGAGTTGCAGGGTGGGCGGGCTATAAATTGAACTTATAAATAAAGTAAGGTTTCCCTTGCTCGAAAGCCAGTCGAGTCCGACTCTCGGGTTGCGGTGCTCATCTCCGTTTCAAAGCTGAAGAGCCAGCGCTGTCCGAAGACGTTTCCGTGGTCATGTGGCCGGCATGACTAAACACCGAGGCGCAAGGAACGCTGTTACCTTCCCACTGAAGTGGTACCTATTTATCTACTTGCAATTTCTCGCTTTCGAACTGCTAGGTTGGCAGGAGCTGGAACTAGAGACGGGGGCTCACTCCGTCATGCGGCACACTCGGGTCTCAAACTGCTGAACTACCGACCTTCCACAGCCTGCAGTTCAGCGTCTTAACCACTTGAGCCACCGCAGCTCCTATAAATAAAGTAAGGAGCCATAATTCTCAGGAGAAAGACGATGCCAGGCAGTCAAGGTTAAAAGCTCTGGTTACACAGATAAGCAAGGCACTGAAGACACAGCAGAAATGAAAGTCAAAATTCCAGAGCCAACTCCTCCCTCCCATGGCAGCCGGGGGCCTAGCTGACACCCCACTTAGAGTGAAAAGGGCAATGTGCGTATTTTCCAGTTTTGCCTACTAGTCACACAAAAAAAGGCAACCGCACATTTATCGGGAGGATCACAGAGGTAGCCCTGCCCCCTCCCTCTGCTATGAGCTGACTCCACACACACCTCCAAAATTAATCAGTCACAGGACTTACATCTTATAGATTTCCATTAGTTGCTGTGCCAGAGTTTGGCCCTTGGTATCCAGAAACGTGGCCATCTCGGCCGTCACCACGGCCGCGCTCACGCCGTCTTTGTCCAATACAGAAGTGCCGCACATGAAACCTGCGAATCAGAAAACGTTCCATGCTGAGTACAGCTCTCTTTCGGGGGAGCGCTTACCTTTTAAAGATTTCTATTTAAAGTCAACCTTAGCCACTCTTGGAAGGATCAAATATGAAAGAATAATGATGACAGAAGTAGTGACGGATTTACATGAAACCAGAGGCAGAATGACATATAGATCACGCTCTATCCTACAAAAATGTCAAGAGATTCTCACCAAACTACTTTCATAAAGATTTACACGACCCACGCCTCAGAGGTTCAGGGGTGTGGCTAACTTCTACAGGCCCCAAAAGGTTTCAGTCCAGTGGCACCTTGTCAGGTAACACCACACACGAGGCTTCTTAAGAAGATAAGTGTTTTATTGGTAGTCCAGTACTAAAGAACGAGTATACAGCTTGTGTCAGGAATGACCTGCAATATGATGGCCACTGACTTATACTGTAATCAAACTCCCCCCCCCCCCATGAGCCCAAGCCAATGAGTATATTGTGCGCACGCGGGCAGCAAGTAGCAAGCAAGCGACTAAGAGCATAAGCCGTTAACTTTCCCAGGCCAGTTAATTTGCAGCTGGAGAACGACGGCAAGGTCAGGCCAGAGATAGCAGCCATAAGCTAGACAGGGATGAGCTGGGAACGAAAAGGTGGTGCACCCCTCCACATTCCAGTTCTATGACAGGGCTACCTGACACACCTTTCAGACAAACAAAGTTTCGTTCTAGGTATAAGCTTTCATGTGCACGCACATTTCTTCAGATACAACCTAAAGAAGTGTGCCCGCACACAAAAGCTTATGCCCAGAATGAAACTTTGTTGGTCTTTTAAAGGTGCCCCTGGACTCAAACTTTGTTCTACTGCTCTGGACCAACAGGGCTACCCGCCTGAATCTTTCTACAGGCCCAATTACGTGAAACTCACATGATGACCCAAACCAATTAATTCTTCTCTTCCAGATATACCATGTAAGCTCATCAGAGGTCAGAATTAACTTCCGCATGGCCATGACACAAACTAATCATCTACTCATTCTTCACATCTTAAGGTTTGGTTCTGGACAGGCATCCAATGATTCAGAGTTCTCTCTCTCTCTCAAAGGACCTACGTCCCTGAGGGACCACCTTTCCCCATACGTTCCCCAGAGAGCACTGCGATCAGGGTCCCAACATCGATTGGCCCTCCCCGGACCCAAGGAGGCCAGGCTTGCTATAACTAGGGACAGGGCTTTCTCGGTGGCAGAGCCTCTCTGGCGGAACGAGCTCCCGGAAGAGACCAGGGCCCTGCGGGATCTTATGCCGTTCCGCAGGGCCTGCAAGACGGAGCTCGGCCGCCAGGCTTTCAGTTAGCAGCTGCCCCCGAGAGAGAACCGTGTTCCCTGAAGTCATCAGAACAGCCCGTGCTGCCCGCACAAGGTTAGGCCTATGGGCTGACCAAGAGGATGGAACGCTGAAGGTCGACCACCATCATCTAATAACCTATTAGTGTTTTTAACGGTGGCACCTTTTTAATGTTGGAATGTTTTATTTAGTTTTAAAAAAGGAAAGGTTCCCTTGCTCGAAAGCCAGTCGAGTCCGACTCTAGGGTTGCGGTGCTCATCTCCGTTTCAAAGCCGAAGAGCCAGCACTGTCCGAAGAAGTTTCCATGGTCATGTGGCCGGCATGACTAAACACCGAGGCGCACGGAACGCTGTTCCCTTCCCACTGAAGTGGTACCTACTTATCTACTTGCAATTTCTTGCTTTCGAACTGCTAGGTTGGCAGGATTTGGTTTTAGGACTATTTAAATTGTGTGTGTGTTTTTGAATTGTTGTGTTAGCCACCCTGAGCCAGCTTCGGCTGGGAGGGCAGGGTATAAATCTGACAATAAATTAAAAAATTTTTTTTAAAGAAGGTAGCCACATTGGCCCCTCTGTGCCCCTCATTTGTGAGCAATGCCAAGGGTATGGCATGTCGTTTTGTGTAGAACAATAAAGGAGAAATCACCTGGGACCACAAAGCTTAGGGTTGGACTTCCTTCCCAAGTTTTAGGCGGCCTCACACTGCAAAGACAAGAGATCTCTGGAGGTTTATATCCAAGCTTGCCTTGGATTAAAAAAAAACGCTACACTAACAACTGTTGATAAGAACATAAGAGAAGCCAGTGTTGGATCAGGCCAAAGGCCCATCCAGTCCAACACTCTGTGTCACACAGTGGCCAGAAATACCAGGGGCCATCAGGAGGTCCAGCAGTGGGGCCAGAACTCCAGAAGCCCTCCCACTGTTGACTCCCCCCCCCCCAAGCACAAAGTAGACAGAGCATCACTTGCCCCAGAGCCCCTATCTATACCTTGTGGCTAATAGTCACTGGTGGACCTCTGCTCCATATGCTTATCTAATTCCCTTTTGAAGCCGTCCATGCTTGTAGCCGCCACCACTTCATGTGGCAGTGAATTCCATGTGTTAATCACTCTTTGGGTGAAGAAGGACTTCCTTTTATCTGTTCTAACCCGACCGCTCAGCAATTTCATGGAGTGCCCACGAGTTCTTGTATTGTGAGAAAGGGAGAAAGGGACTTCTTTCTCTACCTGCTCCATCCCTTGCATAATCTTATAAACCTCGATCTCGTTACCCCCTCAGCCGTCGTTTCTCCAAGCTAAAGAGCCCTAAGCGCCTTAACCTTTCCTCATAGGGAAAGTGTTCCAAGCCTTTTATTATTTGAGTTGCCCTTTTTTGCACTTTTCCCAAAGCTATAGTATCCTTTTTAAGGTGTGGTGACCAGAATAACATGGACTTCAACAACGGTACAGTATCAAATTTCTGGAGCACGCTAAGAAGTACGACCGAACATTTTTAAAAAGGTTCCTTGATGCTGGAGTCTTCCTGTGCTTACCAATGGACTCTTCGAAGGCAAAAAGGACTTCCTTGCCATTATCCAGGAGGTCTTTGACTCTGCCGCCAATCCATTTGAAGCCAGGGAGTGTATCCTGAAACGAGAAGAGGAGGTGCCTTCTCTTAGCACCACGGACAGAGTACCATTGTGGGTAGTGGTTACTGCTGCACCGTGACCAGGGGGACCTGGGAGACCCGGGTTCAAATCCACACCCCCAGCTCTCCTCCAACCTTATGACCCCCACTTTGCTGTCTGTATTATACTGTGTTTTCAGAGATCCTCTCTCATTTTGTTTTACAGTTACTATGAAGAAACTGCTTGTGGCAGGTACTTTCTTCTTACTGCATTGTTTTTAGAATCCCCCTAGAGAAGGGGTCCCCCAAAGTGGTGCGCCCAGCTACGGTGGGGCTTGGGGGGGCTCCGCCCCCTTTCTTAAAGGCACAGCCCCAGAAGAATTTCTCCTCGAAATGCTTTTTCCAATCATTTTTAAACATCTTTGTAAAGGCGTGTGCTCCTTTAAGCAGAGTGGGGTGCTGTAGCTGACTAAGAGCCAGATTGGTGTAGTCAGTGTTCCCTCTAAGCTGAGTTAGTGTGAGCCAGCTCACAGTTTTTTAGCCTCCAGCTCCCAAATTTTTGTCTTCGCTCAGGAAGGCTGGGGCTCCAGGGCAAACTAATTTATGCAGTAGCCAAATCGCTGGCTCACAACTTTAATGCCAGTAGCTCACAAAGTAGTATTTTTGCTCACAAGACTCCACAGCTTAGAGGGAACATTGGGTGTAGTGGTTAAGTGCGCAGACTCTAATCTGGGAGAACAGGGTTTGATTCCCCACTCCTCCACTTGCACCTGGCTGGATGACCTTGGGCAAGCTATAGTCCTGTCAGAGGTGTTCTTGAAAAAGAGCAGTTTTGGTCAGAGCCTTCTCAGCCCCACCTGCCTCACAGGCAGTGTTCCCTCTAAGCTGAGTTAGTGTGAGCAAGCTCACAGTATTTTAGCCTCTGGCTCACACATTTTGTCTCAGCTCAGGAAGGAGGGCTCCAGAGCAAACTAATGTATGCAGCAGCTAAATCGCTCACTTACAACGTTAATGCCAGTAGCTCCAGGGCAAACTAGTTTATGCAGTAGCCAAATCGCTGGCTCACAACTTTAATGCCAGTAGCTCACAAAGTAGTATTTTTGCTCACAAGACTCCACAGCTTAGAGGGAACATTGCTCACTGG